AAGAAAAAGCTTTTATTTATTATCACAATAACACGTTGTAGGGTATTGGGTCAGGGTTGGCAATGGCGCGAGCTGATAGCTTTGGTATCGCAAGCGTGTGTGGTTGTTTGTTACTCATTCATGCAAAAACTGCAGAACGGATTTGGATGAAATTTGGTACGCATATAGTTTATGACCAGGATTGTGACGTAGGATACTTTTTATCGCGGAAAAGTGTTAGCTCTCTGAGTGATTAGAAAAAAAAACTAAAGTTAAGGAGGACTTAGTCGCGGGCGGCCGCTAGCTAGTATAGTCAAACTAATAGAGTCTTCTAATGGGACATATAAGTAATTGAGGATGCGCTACTTTTATCCCATTTACACAATCCGGAAGTTTGTTATTACATACTTTGTTGTATCCTTTGTTCAGTGTTTGAGAAAACGATACAAAGTTTAAGGCCATCGCAAATTTCATAAATGTGATCCTAATATCCTGAAGGCAAACCTCTAATTATTACTATCTCTGAGGTTTTGAATTGACTTAACGATCCAGTTACCCTCATCAAGTCTCTTATCTCGGTTGTGCGTAATCCGTAATATAATAGTTATTTACGTCGTTAATTATCTATGCAAGCGGACACCAGTGGCTTATGTCTTTTGAAAATACCACAGAAACCTGTCATTTTTACGGGTTGAAAAGTATCCTTCGTCTCAATCCAGGTCATAAACTATATGCGTATCAAATTTCATACAAATCTGTTCAGTAGTTTTTGTGTGATTAAGTAACGAACATACAAACATTCTCATTTATATTGTTAGTAAGATAAAATAAAGGCTAGGCTACCACCGCAAATTATGACCTTTATGTGGCTTAAAAACTGCTCAATCATTGCAAAACATATTGAAATATTTCTTACACTCACAGCAATTAGAATAGCCCCAAAGTAAGCACTGATATAAAAGATAAACTATTACACAAGCTTGTGTAATAGTTTATCTATTATGGCGCGATAACATTTGGTCGCTAGCCCGAATACGAGTGCTAATGGAATTCAGGCAAACGATTTAGTATCGCCGCACACGGGCCACACGCCACAGCCACAAACGCCGCCACGAGAAGCTAGAAGCGGCTACTAAAGTGGCTGAAGCGCGCGACAGCGGCCGACTAAGGGATGGGGAATCGCGCGAGTGACGTGTGATTAAGTGGCCGGTGCGGGCCACAAGAAGCGAGCAACGACGATTTGTAGCGTGTGGCGGCCACCGGCGTACCGGTGTGACGAGTCCATATAAAATATATGAAAACTACAAGAAATATGCCGGTGGCGGCGTTTTGTGGTTGTGGTCAGTGGCCCGTGTGCGGCGACACTAAGTGGCCGGTGCGGGCCACAAGAAGTGAGCAACGACGATTTGTTGCGTGTGGCGGCCACCGGCTTACCGTGTGTGGCGAGTCCATATAAAATGTATGAAAACTACAAGAAATATGCCGGTGGCGGCATTTTGTGGTTGTGGTTGGTGGCCCGTGTGCGGCGACACTATAGTCTATTCACTTTGGAGTGAGATAAAATGTAAACAAAGAATGTGAGGTTCTAAAACTTTTGTAATGTCAGAAAGTACCCACTAGTCAATGATTACGTATAATTTATGATACCTATAATTTATTAACAACTTTAAACTTAACAGAAAAAAATAACAACAAACTGAACAAATAAAACAAGAAAATAACAGGAATTTAACAAATATGATAGAGTATGCACGCTCGCGTCAACAGTTTCAGCGGGAGAGTAAAGATGGCTAACGTAAACCAACCGATTACAAAACACAACACTTCAACGTAAAATACTTATATCATGTCTACTCTTAAATTTTGTCGTATTATAATACGGCTTAAGTTTGGGAATGATTGTGTTTTTAGGTCTTTTTCCATGTCAACTTTAGACGTCAAAATAATTTTATAAGCAAAATAAAAATATTCGAATTCATGATGAGTAGGTACGTTAAATATTTTCTTATTCATATGTATTTACTAGCTTTTAAAATAATTGACTTAATATTTCCATACATTCCCTATGTAATTGGGTTTAATCTTTACTTTTGTCAAACGTGACTTTAAAAAGTATCCTTTTTATCGTTTGTTTACATTTTGTCTCACGACTATGTGAATAGACTATAAGTGTAAATGAACGGGGACAAGTACGCCCGTAATCGAGTAGTTTTTGTTTTGGTTATCCGACACCGCTTTCCAGCCCGTATTCCAGTGTAAATTGGGTTATGTAGATCGATTGACATGTATGCTTTCTTTGTTACGTTTTCGAGAATTATTGTATCTGATAAGAACCCCAACTATAAACCAAATTCAAATTTAATATAATTCCATTTAACCTAGTGTTTTAATGCATTTTTGCTTTAGTTTTTAGTTTAGTTTTAAGATTTTTGAATATGTAATGGTTATTTATGATATTGGTGTGGTGAGTTGGTTATTGCAGGCGAAAAGACGAATGTAAGAATTGTATTAAATATTCTTTAGTTATTGTGCCATTGTAAGTTTGTCAGTAATTGTTTTTGCACTATGCTGATAATTGTTACATATAAGTGTGATTATGTAAGTTAAGGTGTAAGAATGTTGGCAGACCTTTAATAAATAAATAAATAAATATTGTTATTTTTTTTTAAAAGCATGTAACTACTTGATAATTAAATCTAAAGAAAATATAAAACTAGTTTTCACGGGTTAATGCACGAAACTTTATTTATTTATTGACGTTTCGTAAGTTTTATTCTGACGACGAAGCCTGTAAAGGCTACGAAACGTCAATAAATAAATAAAGTTTCGTGTATTAACCCGTAAAAACTAGTTTTATTTAACGAGTGATGTGCGTGAAAACCTAAGAAACTAAAGAAAATATAACTAGAAAAAATTCCACGCGGACCAGGCAGCAGACGGGACTCGAACCTAAATAACCGGGACGAAAATAAATATTGCTTCGGGTATCCGAATTCGAGTAATATCTTTCGTGCAGCAAAAAACGGGCTAACGATAAAGTGTAATTTATGGCTCAATTACATTTGGTCTTTAGTTTAGGTTAGTAACGATAGTTTCATAGATAGCTAAGAATAATTTTTCAGAAATATGTTATTTCTAAAGCTTATTGAAAAGGCTTATTTGACCACGTACCACTTAACCTAATTTAGGTAGCTCTTCGCGCACAATCTATCCCGGAACTTTATGTAACTTATAACATGGACATGTACACAAACGCCTCTACACTAGTCACCTGCCTCGCTGGCTTAAGCGAGAGCTTCGAACTTAATGTAGGCTTCTTCTTCTTCTTTTAAAAGTCACGATGGATTATATCCTTAGATTAAAACAAAAAGGGAAGATACGGTACGCTCGTATGAGCGTCAAATAAAATATAATCCGACTCAACTACATAAGCAATTCTCACACACGCACACGTATGTAAAGAACATTCATTGCGAATCCGCTTCCGAGTGCAAACGGCTGAGCTGTATTGTTGCCCTTCTCTTGATAACAAAATGGCGATTACGTAAATAACATTCACGACAAACCGTGATTTTTGAGAAAATAATAATTTTACAGTTTTACGAATGAGAAGTGTTGCTGAGGAATTTGTTATTTAATTTTGTTCTTTATAAAAGCATCGAAGGCATTGTTTTATCTTCATAACACAGAATATACGCAATATTGTTATATTGCGTGCACATGCAGCGTGTTTGGATGTCCAATTGTGACTACAGTGAATTGTGATCGTACACCACAATTTAAGCGGAAATGTGTATAAAACCTAGTTAAACCAGCAATGCTTTACGGCTCTGAGTGCTGGCCAAGCAGCAAAGCACATTTAAATCTGCTACAAACTACAGAGATGCGAATGTTAGGCGGGCGTCACCATGATGGACAAAATAAGAAACGTGTATATCAAAGGAAGTTGTAAAGTGGCCCCAATAGATATTGGGAGTATAGAGATATTGGAAAAGTTAATTGAGAAGCGACTGAGGTGGTTTGGTTATATAAAAAAGACATCCTGAAGATCATATGGTAAAAGTAAGCGTCGAAATCTCTACAACGAAACGTGGTAGTGGACGACCACCTTCCAACTGACTGACGATGGTCCAGAAAGACTTGAAACATTTAAATATAGATTCTAACCTTGCATTCAATCGTGCATAATGGAAGATATAGACAGGGAAGGCCAACCCCAAGTAAATAGGAAAAAGGTCTAGCGAGAAGAAGTTATTTATAAAGCGCCATGGATAAGGTGCAATAGGGATGATGACTATAGTTTTAGTCATCATCAGATTCATCACCATCAATGTGCCCACTGCTGGGGCACAGGCCTTCGCTATGGATGAAAATAGGGAGATTGGGCCATGACCCATCACGCGGGCCCAGTGCGGATCGGTGGGTACTAGCGACTGCAGATGCAGCCGAGACCAAAGGCTTAACATGCCTTCCGAAGCACGGAGGAGCTCGTGATACTAAATTTTTGGTCACCCATCCAATGACCGACCACTGCGAAAGTTGCTTTACTTCAACGATCGCAGCCGAACGCGCTAACCACTTTGCGCCATCGAGCTCCTCCATAATATTAGTATCACAAGTGTATCTAGATTAAAGAAAATGTTAGGTACTAACAAAAGAACGCTATGTACATTTTAGTCTGAAAATGTGGTATTTTTATTAATCTGCCAACATAGCCTATGTTGACCGCTTACCATCAGGCGGACCAAACGCTTGTTTTACAACCTTTAACATAAAAAAAAAATACTTTAAAAATTCTTGAAGAGCGGCATAAACAACCCCTTCATTCCGGAGTTTGTCAAAAGGAAAAACTTGAAAAGACTTTAAACAATAGTACCTACATTTACCTTTTACTTGCCAGCCAACGGGAAAGTTGCCATTATTGGGCCATTGTGTATACAAAGCTTTAGGGGCAAACGATCCCAAGTACTAACTGTTTGTTTACAATCACGGACTGGCTGCCAGATGGAATCTTCAGTCGAGTGAGAGCGGGCGTCGGGAAAGCACGCTCCCGCCCGCCCAAGGCGCAACCTTTGCCTCGCGATTTTTATTACTTTAGAACGTGGAAAACCCAAGCTCACTTCGCTTCGATTCGCAACCACTGTTTCTCAAAACAGCTAAAAAGACGAGACCTATTCCATACACAATGGTAGTCGTGTCTGTTAGTCCTGTAAAGATGTTTTAGTTTTAATAGAATTATAACAAAATGATTGTTCAGTGACTGCTAATGATGGATAAAGACTCGAAAAGATTGCAGACCAACAACTTCGATTATTGCAATAGCGGTGAGTGCTTTTCTTTATATTTTCTTAGAAATAATATTATCCAATTTTGTGTTATTGTGCTACGTTAATGGGTCGGAGAGTGAAAAACAGTGTTTCACCGTGAACAAACATTTAAAGACTTCATAATTTTATTAGTTTGAAAAGAACCGGAAATACGTAGAGTTCGCCAGCTGGTAACTTTTCCGTGCAGATAGTAAAAGTCGACCGACAGACAAGTTGTTGTAAACTTTTACATTAGATGGTAGCCTGTTACTATTGTATTAATGATAATAATTGCTGTAAGTGTAAGAAATATTAATATATTTTTGCAAAAACGTAGCAAAAATAATTGTAAAACCAAACAACAATATACATATATGGTGTTATATATTGCTTAAGTTCAAGTTATTCTTTTAAATGAAAAAATGACCTAGTTCCCTTAACAAGCTGAATAAGCTTGAAATATACATGAGAACTATTAAACATAACGTTACAAACGTGCTTCTCATTAAAACATTTCAATTGTTTACATCATAAGTGCATATAAAATGACGTATATAAGATCTTAAGCGTTTTCATTATAAATGACGTAAGTATGAGAGATCTCAAAATGTTTACATTATAAGTATACAGAATGACGTTGCGCTATCCATAAAACAAACGCGTCTGAAAATAGGTTTATTTTGTTCGCATAAAAAAGACTATTGATGGAATCCGTAAAAGCATTTTTCACGAGCTTTATTATATTTTATGTTTGAGGATAAAAGGGAGACGTGTAACTCTTTCAATATTGTCAAAAAACAACTAATTTTTATAGGCAAGTGATATAGAATTTTGTTTTCCATATCAGAGGATTTTGGGCTCATTCGTTTAAAACTAAACAGAAAACGAGCTAAAGTTAAGGAAGTTGTAGTGGCCAATAAAGTTATATACCTAACGGGTATTGGCAAGCGCTTTTTAAGATTATTCGCTACTAATTTATTTGAGAGCGAAACATTTCAATTATTTTCGCATAAAGTACTTAATGCAAAGCAAAAACATTTACAAACGTGAAGCCAAAGATTAGGTTAAGTTGTATTTTTTTTAAAATGGAACTTTTATTGAATTGCCACTAGTCTTTCGCATTACATTGAATGATTAATACCTTATAAAATAGAACATTGTTTGTATTTATACTGTACGACACAGCAATCAAAATGTGAGTGGACGTTGTATTAATTTTTTTTTGTAAATGTTGCTACTTCTGTTTAATGCTGATGAGTTTCTTGAGCCCATTCTTCTCATCAGCTAAAAGATGTCCTGAATAAAAAAAAATAGGTAGGAAAAAATATTGGACAATTCAAAAGAGCTTACAATAAGTCAACTTAAATAAAGTATAATTTCGTTTCATTTTATTTTTAGTTGTTATTAAAAATTCAGGCATCGGTGATCCAGTGGTAGAATGCGTGCCTGCTACTAAGTAAGGAAGGACATAATGTTTATTAATGATTTTATAAGTTTTACTTTAACAGATTTTATAAAACCTCTCAAAATTTTTTTTAAACGTTTATTACCCTTCTGGAACATTCAACCAGTAATTGGGTACAACGAATACAGACAAATTTAATTTTTTTTAGTTAAGGTTTTTACAAGCACTTAAACAGTCCAGGAGCTTCACCTTAACGGTCCGTAAATCTACGGCGGGAGACTTTACACTGTTAGGAAATGGTAAGACACTATTTTTCTGCCTATATTATTTCATTAATAGTTTTACACAGAAATAGTTATAGTTATAATTTTTATTATTTTAAACCTAACTGCTTGATTATAATTTTTATTATTTTTAAAGCATGTAACTGCTTGATGTTTAAATCTAAAGAAAATATAACTAGAAAAAATTCCACGCGGTCCAGGCTTTTTCTAGTTATATTTTCTTTAGATTTAAACATCAAGCAGTTACATGCTTTAAAAATAATAAAAATTATAACTATAATTGCTATTTCTTCTTTCAAATGTTTAATACTTGTAAAAGTATTCATTTGACATTGTGGGTTTACCTATAATGCGAAGAGATGGCGCTGCCTTGCAGCTTAAGAATAGCTAGAAAGAATTTCGACGCGGTCCGTGAGGGCCGCGGTAGCATAATTGGTCAGTCTAACTGCTTGATGTTTAAATCTAAAGAAAATATAACTAGAAAGAATTCCACGCGGACCAGGCAGCAGACGGAACTCGAACTCGCACCCTTCGCAATCCGGGAGAATGCACTGACCAATTATGCTACCGCGGCCATCACGGACCGCGTCGAAATTCTTCTAGCCATTCTTAAGCTGCAAGGCAGCGCCATCTCTTTGCATTATGGGTAACCCACAATGTCAAATGAATACTTTTACAAGTATTAAACATTTGATAGAAGAAATAGCAATTATAGTTATAATTTTTAATATTTTAAAGCATGTAACTGCTTGATGTTTAAATTTAAAGAAAATATAACTAGTAAACATTCCACGCGGACCAGGCAGCAGACGGGACTCGAACCCGCACCCTTCGCAATCCGGGTGAATGCACTGACCAATTATGCTACCGCGGCCCTCACGGACCGCGTCGAAAGTCTTCTAGCCATTCTTAATAAGAAATTGTTATGTTGACGGATACATTTTGAAATCTGAGAAAACCTATTACGTACTCAATAAGAGTGGAATTCGTAGTCCAGTTGTGTAGTCCACTGGAGTTGTGTGAACTGTACCTTTAATGTTTGTTATTCATGAAACCATACTCGACCCGCGTAAGGCCCTGTCACCTTGGCTGTGATTGGATCTGCAATGTCAATATAATAACAATAGTTTGCGTTTAAATTAGGTATGAAGAAATGCTTTGATACATTTGAAAATGGCTACTATAGAGAAAGCGAATACCTTCCACAGATATGTTTTTTTTTTATGAATATAGTAAGGTAAAGACGACCTCCGTGGCCGAGTGGTTTGTACGCCGGGTTTCATGGTGTCGCCGACTCGAGAGGTCCCGGGTTGAAATCCCGGTGGGGGCAGATGTTTGTGTGATGAGTACGAGCATTTGTATGTATATATAACTATATATCTACTTAAACATGTACAATTTAAGTATTCTATCAGTTACCCTAGCATCCCATAACACAAGCCTTACAGTGCTTACTTTGGGGCTAGGCTAATTGGTGTGTGTCGGAAAAAAAAAGTTTAGGTCCAGGGAAATGTTTTTATACCAAAAACCCAACATCACTATCATCAACAGTCTATCTTAGTCCACTGCTAAACAAAGGCCTCTCCAATTGCACGCCAGTCAGATCGATCTTGGGCTACTCGCATCCAACTCCTGCCAGTCACCTTGCGCAAATCGTCACTCCACCGTGCTTGAGGACATCCTACACTACGTTTTCCTATGCGCGGTCTCCACTCCAGAACTCGTCTATCCCCAAAAACCCATCGCAGCTTGAAATCCTTAGCAATCAATCAATACTTTATTGCGTTCTATAATGTTGTCTTACATGTTATCAGGTACATTGTTTTGATCATTGTAGACACTGAATAGGGCACAGCAAATAGAGAATAGAGAAGACTAGGCGAAGCTAAGCTAGGTATTTTTTTTCGATGAAGGGTAGAAAAAATGTATTATATCCACGACAATGACCAACGCCACGTTGGTTTGCTGTTAACAAACCCTCACGACGCCGGTAATTGCGTGGTGCATTCGACAAGCGGCGAGCCGCCTGAGTGCCGCTAGTCGGTGCGGGTATACTTTGACGTGCACTCACGCAAGCGTGGCATACTTCAAACCACCCCGCCTCCGAACAGTAGCCCGGTCCGCACCCGCTTTAATCGATCCTGGGCTTCTCCGTTCACAGCGTCACCTGGCTAGTCTCACGGACCGCAGTCCAAGCGGCTAGTCAGCCGACCAGCTCCCGTACCTACCAGGTAAACCAACTCCCCGATCTACCCCTCACCCTCTTGGCGTAACTGCGGGGTCCAGTTATGAGTTGCCGCTTGTTATGCCTGCTAAGCTACCTGAGCGAATACACTGACTGTCGGGTCGTAGAAGTCGAAGTTGAAGTCGGTGGAATGAAACTTGGCAGTCACCGCCGTCCTGTCTCCTAGTCCATCGTCCTCTTTTTTCCTGTCAGACTGCCATAATGTCCGCCTGTCATCTGTAGGCTAGTCAGTCAATCCAACGCTGCTGGACGCCGCAACACTGACCATTACGCTACTACAACTAATTACCGGACCTGCCTTCATCATCAGCCTATTAATGTCCTCACTGCTGGGGCACAGGCCTTTCCTATGGGTGGAATAGGGAGATTGGGCCATGACCCACCACGCGGGCCGAGTGCGGGTTGGTGGGTGCTAACGACTGCAGATGCAGCCGGGACCAACGGCTTAACGTGCCTTCCGAAGCACGGAGGAACACGAGATAGAAGATTTTTGGTTACCCATCCAATGACCGACCACTGCGAAAGTTGCTGAAGTTCAACGATCGCAACCGAACGCGCTAACCACCTGCGCCATCGAGCTCCTCGGACCTGCCTTATAATCCATAAAAAGCTGCCAAGCGCGAGTCGGATTCGTGTGGAAGGGTTCCGCACCATTATTTATACAACATTAGATATAATATCGAGCAGAAACGGCAAAAACTCACGTCTGCTGTATGGGAGCCCCCTTCTTATTTATTTTATTTTAATTATTTATTTTTAAAGTGAATATACAATTTAATATTCTGTGAATATTTCAAGTTATTTCCTGTTGCCCTTAAAAATATATAGCGAAAATGCCAACAATATAATTTTGTTGAATGGATCTCCCATACAACAAAAAGCCCTTAAATATTGATTTTATGTTGTTTTTAGTATTTGTTGTTATAACGACAACAGAAATACATCATTTGTGAATATTTCAACTGTCTAGCTGTCACGGTTCATGAGATACAGCCTGGTGACAGGCAGATGGACAGACCGGGTGACCAGTGCAGGAGTATTTGTCTGGTTTTAGTGGCCCTGTTTAGGACGTTTAGGTAGCCCC